ACAACACTTTCTGGAGGAACTTGCAAGAATCAAAGCTAGTTAAAACTCTCAATGTCCTTATATTAAAATTTTTGTTACTTAAAAATAGTCCTACAAAATGGTTGAGGTAAAAGATCTTATTCAAGGAAACAGCCAAATCTAAAATGTCTTTTTATGTAACAACAAATTATACGTAGAGGTAAATGTGGACAGATGAATTTGTTGGACATAATATTTAAGACAAGCAGAGACTTCAATAAAATTATCGATATATTTTCTGCCATTTCCCCAGGAATGTCTGACACAAACTGATCATACATGGTATGTGCTACCAAATCTATTTTCAATATTTATTAGACTATTAACTTTGCGAAATGATTTCATTTGGTTTTAGAGGAACAAAAAGGCTTCTATAGTTGGAAAAATAGCATGCTTTATTGTAACGTCTTGTGCTTAGATCTTGTGTTTCATCTCTAAAATAATTATGGCAGGGGCCAGGGATTTAGCTCAGTGGCACCACGCCTGTCTTGCAAACGCAAGGTCCTGAGTTTGATACCTGATTCCAAAAAAATTTTTTAAATAAAATAAAATAATTATGGCAGCTTTCAAGTAGGGTCTAATTTTTCCTTTCCTTGCAAAAGTATACAAAAAGTAAAACTATTTGAGAGCTCTCGTTCTGAGTGAACGCAGGACTTTCATTAATGTCTAGATGACAATTCATTTATTTCTTATCTCTTAGTATTTCATTTAGAAAGGTTGTGATAAACAAACTTTTGTCTATTTTATTAAAAAATACTTAAAATTTGTTAAGACTAGTAATTTAAATACTGAATTTTCTTACTCAATTTCTCCAAGTCAGGGCTGGGAGTGTAGCTCAATGGTAGAAAACTTGCCTTGCATATCCAAGGCCTTGGGTTCAATCCCTAGCACTCAGGGGGAAAAAAAGGAAAGAAATGTGGGATAGGGGTGTGGCTCAGTAGAAGAGCACATACTTAACATGCACACGGCCCTAGGTTCAATCCCCAGCACCATCAAAACCAAACAATAACAAAAACACTTTTTACTTCTCCAAGACACACTAAAATGTCTACAGCAATTGATAAGTAGTTGTTTATTTACTCAATAGATATACTCAGAGCATCTACTATATGCCAGGGGCTAGGCTGAGTAAGACAAAATAAGGTCCTCAAAGGACTCACATTTCAATTACTTTCCATCTCCTCCCTTAATTTTACAATACATATAACATAAAATTTGCCTATTTAACCATTTTTAATACAGTCTAGTAGCATTAAGTACTTCTGCGCTATTGGACAACAATCACTACAATCCATCTCCAGAACTTTTCATCATCCTGAACTGAAACTCTATGCCCATTAAACATTAAGCCCTCATTCTCTATTTCCCTGGCCCTAGGTAACTACTATCCTACTTTTTGTCTCCAAGAATTTGACTATTCCAGGTGCTTCGTATAAATAAAATCATACACAGTCTTTATCTTTGTGTTTGACTTATTTCACTTAGCATAACATCTTCAAGCTTCATCCAAGTTGTACCATGTATCCAAATTTCACTCCTTTTAAAGCCTGAATAATACTCAATGTACATATATACATTTTCTCTTCAAATACTTTAGTTTGAAATTGCTATTTATAAAAAGAAACGTTTTAGGGCTGGGATTTAGGTCAGTGGTTCTGCCACCTGCCGTCCCAAGTTTGATCCCCGGTACCAAAAAATAAAAAAATATAAAATAAATAAATAAATAAATAGAAACTTTTTAAAGGTAGAGTCTATAGCATTCCACTAGCTGCCCAGTTGTCAGTTCAGTTTCTGCTTTTACTGCCACCACTCAAAGTATTAGGTGTTTTCTTTTATGGCTATAGTCTTGGAAACATTTCCTGCCTCTTGTCTTCTGAATGTCTTTGTAGTAAGTTATTGGAACAGTAACACACTTTCTAGAGGATTTTTGAAAGCTAAATGTCTAGTTTGTATATAGTCAGAAATATCTGCAAGTTAGGCAATTATGGGTACAAAAAGAATTCAGTCCGGGGATCCTCCCTGCTGGTTTACTGGGGTAGTCTCCAGTCCTACCCAACCATTCCAATAAGGTTTATTTTGCTCTAGGACCCACGTGCCTAATTTCCCAAGACATTTACATAACTAGCTTATTCTCTCATATTTTACTTTCCTTTTTCTTCTTGTCCATAACCAGTTACCTGTGACTCCCTTTCATTTGTTATGTATGGCATGAACATATTTATCCACAGGAGTACAATTTATGAGACATTCACCACTGTGTCTGATCTTAGTAGGGGGTGCAAAGTACCTTGCATCCCCAAGTGTGCGAGAAATATATTTAATTACCTGTAAGTAAAAAAACCTTGAAAGAGCAGGCTTAGTGAATATATAACCAATTTTTTAAAATAGAATGCCACTGACAAGCTGATAAAAAAAGCTTGTCAGAAAGCTAAAAGGTTATCATTCTTTTCTCAAAAATCTAACACATCCTTAAAGATACTTGGAATTTTTCAGTTTTTATTTAGTGCCAAACATCTGAATGGCTAGAAATTACAAAAAACAAATTCCTACTGAATTCAGGAGGAAGCTGTCACTGGCTAATGTGGGTCTTTAGACTCAGGTAAGATGGAAATCAGACATGGGCTGGTTTGTCAGCTACTTCTCCCTTGCTGATAATTATCACTGTTGTCTGCCCTCTTCTTCAGGGAAAGGGAATAAGGGAAGGGTCCTGTACAAGGTTCCAAGATGTTACCAATTGGTTGAGGGTTCTTGCTCAATTCATACAGAAACCATGAATTGGCAAAGTGTAGATCTTTTAGTGTTAACAGCCTTGAGCTTTGAATGCCAGTGATTATCAGTTCTTAGGGTTAACACCCCTTCTTGCTGCTCAGAGCAAGTGGCTACTAGCAAACCTGGGGAACTCTTCTATCCACCAGAGCTCCTGACAATTCTCTGTTGCTTTCTGCTGTTCTCTGGCTACAAGTCACTTTTGGTGTTAGCAGCTATGGTTGCTGGCTACTTTTGGTACCAGTGGCCTTTGGTGTTACTTGCTCATTGTGCTCTTCTAGAGATAGAAATGGCAAACAGACCAAATAGATGCCACCCAGAAGCTTTATTAGGACTTATGCTATAGCAGAAGGGGGAACAGTGCATAGACCAACTAAGGGTATGAGGCATTTGCTTATACTGGAAAACAGAGAGCTCACACAAACACAGTGTCAAACTTTCTGTTTGATCATGAGTAGGGAAGGGACTCCTCAAAGACCTAACTGAGGTGGGTGAGAGAGGGGTAGAGTCATCCAGAGAGGTTGTAGGACAGAGCTATCTGAGCTCGGTTTCCAACTGAAGCCTGATACAGCCAAAGCAAATATTTCCTAGAGCAGCTGTGGGGTACTTGATGTAGCTGAGCGGCTGTAAGGTGTTTGGCGCAGCCACGGAAGAAAAATAAAAAGTACCTCTTGGGGAGTGTCAGACCCTTCTCTCCTCTCTCAAAGGTAGGAAATAAATGGTGGGAAAAACAGGTATTAATATCCAAAACTCATATTTCTACATTTCCCTGACCACTGAAATGCATTGGTGATTTGCAAACCTATTCTAGAGCCACGTAGGAACTCCAAATATGGCCTGGAGAAGTTAAGGACTTGACCAGTAGTACCATACTAATAACTGAAAATGGAGGGTTGGGGATGTAGCTCAGCAGCACAGTGCCTGCCCTGGCAAGCATGAGGTCTGGAGTTTGATCCCTGGTACAAAAAAAAAAAAAAATCATTTGAGCCGGCTGTGGTGGTGTACTACTATAATTCCAGCGCTTGGGAGGCTGAGGCAGGAGGATCAACACGAGTTCAAGGCCAGCCTGGGCTACCCAGTGAGTGCAGCTACAAAGGGAGACCCTGCCTCAAAAAACAAAACAAAACAAAAAAGAAAATGGAACTGTTATTTCCCATACTGCCCATTAAATGACTTCTTCATTCTATCCCTCCACTTTATGAAGATGTAATTGACAAACAGAAATTGTTTACATTTATAGTATACAATGTTATGTGTTGATACATATAGATATATATGTATGGTGATTAAATCAAGCTAACATATCCAACACCTCATATTTTTGTAGTGAGAACACTTAAGATCCACTCTTTTAACAGTTTTCAAGTACACATTAACTCTAGTCACCTGGCGTTTTCGAATAAATCTGAAGATATGTTCATCTTGTTATTTGTATATTATTGAATTATCCAGGATTTGACAGGATTTATAGGTATGTAGATAGCTCTATAATGCTTCAGTTGTACACTTCTAAGTATGCAATGCAAAGGTTTATATTTCAAACTTTTTAATACTCTGAGGAAAAAAGAAAGAAAAACTGTAGTATTTGAGGGGGAAAATGGTGATCAAGCAAAGGTAAATTGCCTCATGAGACTTGGTGTCCACACTTATGGAATTCCAATTATTATTAATTGCTTCCATTCCTCTCTCCTCTATAACTGATGGGTGCCACTACCGGTAATGCTTTCTGATTACTCACATTATTTCTTGATTGAAAAAGAAAGCAAAGACAAGACTGTTGGACCAGTATTGCAGTTCTGTAGTATCATTCATTTTTTGAAAAAACACAATAATTTGATTTCCAAAATTGGTGTATATATAAAGCCTAACATCATTCTAATAAAGGCACAAATTTCTTTTTAAAAATGTTTGAAATTTCTATCCTCTGACCAACTTCTCCCTACCCAATCCAACAATGACTTGTCTATCTTTCTTGAACAAATTCACTTGCAGTGTTCTTATGAAACTATTCAGTTGTTCTTTTACCCTTTGAGGAGGGAAGCAAAAGCACAGAAAAAGGTATTCTTCACGAATATCATAAAGTTTTGAATCCGGATCCTGAGTTCTACTTCACCAGCTCTGAAACCTGCATGAGGTGGAGGGGATCCAAGGAAGACCTGGTAATATTATCTTAACCATGCGGAAATTTGAATACTTTCTTAAGGACTAAAACCCACCAATTCTTCTCAACGAACGAGTCTGGCTATCTGAAGTGTCCTGCACGCTGGTTCAGATCCACAGCAGCGCACGTATCTCCACCCAAGTCCCGCACTCCTCAGCAGAGCCTGGAGAAGACCGCACCAGAGCGGACTGTGACAGCGGGGAACACGGAAAATAACTGGGGAAGCACAGAGTACGTGAGGAAATGAAACTAACGTCCTCAGGCTGAGATTACGGGAAGGACGAGGGACTTATCAAGTCAGGATTCAGACAGCACAACTCTCAGCACAAGTTCTCGCTGCTGCCAATCTTGAGGCGGGTCCACAGCTTCTCTAAAAGGCTTACTCTCACCACGAGCCTCGAGTTCCCAGCGCCCCTAGCAACCGCCCGCACTACAAAGCGGAAGGACGCCTCTTATCCCGCCTCACTGGCGCTAACCGAGGGCGGACGAGGAAGCGCGTTGGCCCAATCACCTGGGACGAGAACTGCAACTAGCCAATAGGAGGCTGGCACAGGAGGGTGGGCGAAAGAGGTCGCGAGCGCTTGCGCAGTAGAGAGCAACGGGGCCTTGGTGTTGTGGCCGTGTGGGTTGAGTTCTGTGCTTGTGGACCACTGTTAGTCCTCGAAAACCCATTGTGACCGCTGCCGCCTTCTCCTGCCTTCACCATGTTCCTCACGCGGTCGGAATACGACAGGTCCGTGCGGCGGGGAGAAGCGGGTCGGGATTCTGGGTGGGTGGGTGAGTGGGTGGGCTCGGAGCCCGGCCACGGCCTGCGTTCTGCCGCGTCATGGGGCGCTCCGGGAACCCGCGTCTGGCCGGACCTGGGGATTTCTTGTCCTCCATAGGCGCCTGCTGTCATTCCTCAAGCTAACCCTGAGAATTGGTCACGCTTGTCCTACCGCTGAGTCACTGCTGGGTCCTGACTGTGCGGAAGCGAGAAGCTTGGGTTTGTGCTTGGAGAAAAAAGTTGGAGGAATCAGGACTCCGACCCGTAACCTGGAGTAGCTCAGGGGTCCCCTCTCCCCGTTCATCTTTTCGTGCTAAATATGACTGCCCTTTTTTTTTTTTTTTTTTAAGTGAAACCTCTTGCCTGGAATAAAAAGCAACGAGAGACTATTAAATGGGTGTGTAGTAGGGCGCACGGGGATGTACAGCTTCTGCAAAAGCGCGAAAGCAGTCTCAGCAGTTCCCGGACATTTTCATCTGGGAATCTGTCTAGGAACCAGAATTTAGAATTGTTCTCAGGAGATTTCCCATCATGCCGATTCCACTTGACCAAGGGGTTTTTTTTTTTACTTTCATAGAAGTTTAAAGCTAATTAATTTTAGTGTTGTGTTGAAGGCCAAATGTAATGTTTTCGAAAATCAAAGGAATTTGTCTTTATTTTAAAAATAAACTTTCTGAGCTTGGAAATGCTAATACTAAGTCGTACGTATTTATGCTGTAGACATTTTTACTTTCAGTTTCTGTTTTGATCAGTAATATTTTCACTTAGCTGTTAAACTTTATTTAAAGTCTAGGAAAAGCTGATTTCTTTATACTAGGTAGCTTGAGAAGCTTCTTAGCAAGTATGTTGATCCTGTCAAAGTTTTATCACCTGGAGCTACCACATTTCATTCTTTTATTGAGTCTGAAGGTGTATGTCACATTTTAAAACCATCTTTTCCTACTGTAGTCAAGCAAAATGATTTTGTTAATCACCATTTAGTTTCCAAGGTATTAAGAGAATCATCCCTGGATGATACAATTTTTTTTTTTTTTTTGGTACTGGGGATCGAACTCGGGTCCTTGCGCTTGTGCAGCAGGCGGTGAAACCACTGAGCTAAGTCCCTGGCCCCTGGATGACACAATTTTGAGTTAAGGTGTGTATGAGAAAATAGTGATCCTCATCAGAAAGCCTTTAAGTTTTGTGATCATTCACATATATTGTGTCGTATCTTCCCAAGAATACTGAAAATACAGCCCTTTCTTATTAAGTAATGTACATTGTCTTAGGTGCTGGTCATACAGCAGTAAACAAAAGCAAGATTCTTGCTCATCTGGGAGACTGTCCTAAAGAACTATTTACAAAAGTAATTGTAGTATGAGACATATGTATTGATTATCACCAGAGGAATTTAAATCGACACTGGAATTTCTGAGAGAGATTGTGTCCAATAATAGGGGATCATGGAAGGTGGTGATATTTAATCTGGGTTATAAGAAAATAGGATTTTAATAAATAAAAACAGTGAGTCAATAATTTTGAGTCGAGAATGTAGGATGAAAAATGGAGCAGGGGAAAACCAACAATACTTGCTTGAGAACACTCCAGTCTGTCAGGTACATTATAATTCATGTTATGGGAATAGCGTGAGATGTGGGGAAAATAGGGTAATGTTAGATATTGGATGGCTTTTTACTATGAGACTGAGTTTAGGTCTTACTTTATAGGCAACTATGTACCGTTAATTTTCATTTTAAGAAGTTATGTAATCATAGTTATATAGAGATTAATTGACTCGATTAGAGGAAAGAGTAAGTCAATACCAGTTAGGTGGCTCTTGCAGTAGTTAGGTGAAAGGTAATGAGGGCATTGAGGAAGGAAGAAAGAGTGATACATACGGTATTATGGATTGATGACTTGGTATATGGTTGGATATGGGTGAAGAGAAACGAATCATAATTTAGAACTTTCTAGTTTGAGGAAACCAAGAGATTAGAGGTGGTTTAAAGTAAAATTGAAGTACTAATGTTGCAAGATGAAGCTGATTTTGCAGGTGACTAGCTTTAAAGGTACAGTATTTCAGATTGAAATGTTGAATGTTAGGTTTTAATGGGATATCCAAGTGGAAATATTCACCAGGCATTTAGATTAATCAGAAAAGAGGTCAAACTGGTAATAGAAATTTGGAATTAGTTATTCCTTAGCATACATGAAATAACTCAGGGAGACAGTAAAGTTTTAGAAAAGGCCCAAAATGAGAGCCCATATTAGGGAGGATGTAGTAATATAAATGCCTCACTGGGATGAAGTTTCTAAATTATAGTAAAAAAAAAAATTACAACCACATAGTGCTTTATAATTTATAGTTGTTTCATGCTCTGTTCAGTACTCAACTGTCTTGTGAGAAAGGCAGGACAAGTATCATTGTTATTTTTCATTTGAGAGAATTAAATTTAGGAAGTGGCAAAACAGTAACTCAGTTCTCAATCTTTTGACCTCAGACTTTTCTTCCAATGATTTTTAAAGTGTTCCTTAGAGCCCTAAACTTCCTTTTAAATGGCCAAAGGGGTATTACCAGGGGAGCAGTTGAGGGGCCGGGATGGCCCTCTCCACCCACAGTTTAACCAGAATAATTCTTGGCAGTATAATGAAAGAATTGCGAGCTTGGTCTCTACTCAGGTGGCCTGAATTCTAATTCCTCTTTTCAATTGCCTAAATTCTTAATTCCTCTAATTTTAATTCTAATTCCAACCCTGCCTATTATATGCTGAGTTTCTTTGGGCGTCTTACCCCCTCTGTGGGTGTGGTGGCACATATCTATAGTACCAGTTCTCTGGGAAGCTGAGGCAGGAACATTGCAAATTTGAAACCGGCCTGCGCAATTTAAAGGCCTAGCAAGATCCTGTCTCAAATTTTAAAAGGGCTGGGGAATGTAGCTCAGTTTGAAGTTCATTCCCTGTGCCACAAAAACTTCCTCACCTGTAAAATAGTATTGGCCTTAGAATATTATTTCTGGGATCATTTTGAAGATTGAATTAAATCATTTTAAGGCTGTAACAGTGTCATACATAGAGTAATGGCTCAGCAAATGCCAACTTTTATTAAAGTGTCCATTGTGTGCTAAAAGCTTTTATATCTGACACTGTGATAGATGTGTCTTCATAGAGATTTCCGGCATGCTAAAGCAGGGAAGGATGGGAAGACCTATTTTAGAGAGAAAAGCAGGATGGCATGTAATTAGTACAAATATAAGTAATGAACTAGTTTAGGCTATAGTAACTATACAGATAATCTCAGTTCATTGTTAAGACAACAATACTGTTACATGCAAATAAGTAGAGAGATGTACCTGTAACTTTTATTAAAAAATAAAATGTTAGCATCAAATGCATATTATAGGAAGAGGATATGGAAAAATGTATATTTTCTTGGAAATTGTCCGATAGTTTTGGGGCACAAACTTATCAACGGAATTGGTAAGTTGATTCATGATTGATCCAGGTTGACTTATGATTAAGACAGAAAAGTCACCTGCTCTCATTTGATCAGTTTGGGAAGATTTTCTGTGAGTGGGACAGTAGTATCCTGTATGGAGCTCTGTTCCATTCCCTGAGACTATTAATGTATCCCCCCAAAAGCTACAGATTGTTATAGGCAAAGTAGAAAGTAATGACACCATGCATATTCTGTAGTCAGCTGAGCTAGTTATCAGGGAATTTGTGGCCAATGTCTGACTTATTTTTCTAACAATTTTTAATACTTTTTTAAATTATAGAGGCGTGAATACTTTTTCTCCTGAAGGAAGATTGTTTCAAGTGGAATATGCCATTGAGGCTATCAAGGTATAGTAACAAGTAGCATAGTTTTTTCAGATTTCCTGGCAACCTCACATTTGGCATAAATGTATTTTAGTGTTTTTTTTCAAAAATGTCATGACCTGGTCCAAGGATTTAGCTCAGTGGTTCTGCCGCCTGCCCCGCAAGTGCAAGGACCCAAGTTCAATCCCCAGTACCAAAAAAAAAAAAAAAAAATGGCATGACCCTTTATCCCTGTATCCCCAATTAACCATTTTTATAACAATTTCAATCCTATTCCTAATATCTAAATTTAAAATTTTGTGAGCAGGTAACTGCTTCATAATTATGTAAGTAGCATTTTCTTAGTAGGGGTGGAGGAGCATGTTTGTGTTTATAATCCTCTTGCTATATAAAGAGGGATGTAGAAATTCAGAGTTAGTCCTTGTATGTCTATATTTTGTTACCTTGAGTAAATCATATAACTGACCCCCAGAATCCAAACTGCTCCCTTTTTACTGAAATACTTTTTAAAAATTTAAACACATACCATATGCTTTAATAAACCCTGTATTTGTATATTAATGTTCATTCTTGATGTGTAGGTCTTGTTAATATCATTATCCTCATTTTGCAGACAAGGAAACTGAGGCAGAGGGGTAGATGACTAGGAAGGTGGCATGGAGATAAAAAGATGACTTTAAGCCATATTGTGGACTGCTAGTGACCTGGGGTTTAATTTTTTTTTTTTTTAATTTTTTTATTTTTTTGGTACCGGGGATCGAACTCAGGTCCTTGCGCTTGCAGGGCAGGCGGCGGAACCACTGAGCTAAATCCCCGGCCCCTAGGGTTTAATATTCTTATGTTGTTGGTGATCTTTTCTCTTGATTTCTCTTTTGCCCTACTATTCCCTTTCCCTTTCCCCTCACCTCTCCTCACCTTTCCTTTCCTTTTGTTTCCTCCCTTCCCCTTCTCTTTTCTTTCTCTTTTTCTTTTCTCTCTCTTTTTTTCTTTTCTAGATCCATGTGGATTTGGGAAATATCGCCTTTTAGGACAGAGCAAGATAGGTAGCAGAGGTGAAATGAGACCAGGACTGGAAAAACACCAGCATTTCATTAGTTTCTTGCCCTCTGTATTTAGAACTTTATAGAGTCATCGCTTCCTAATATAGCCATTAGAGTGGGTCATTTTTCAGATATTTTTAAGATTTTATTGGATTTCCTCTTTAGAAGCACAGCATTCTGCAAATCAGAGCTCTTGCTATTGATAGAAATAGTATATTATTTATAGGGTGCTCCTTGTTTGCATACTAGATATGGATAATTGAAGCTTGTATCTTGTGAAGATGTACAGAGATTTCTGGTAAAAGTACCTGAAAACTGTTCTTTGACCCATATTTGGTAACCATAACACATTTTCTTTCAGCTTGGTTCTACAGCCATTGGGATCCAGACATCGGAAGGTGTATGCCTAGCTGTGGAGAAAAGAATTACTTCCCCACTCATGGAGCCTAGCAGCATTGAGAAAATAGTAGAGATTGATGCTCATATAGGTAAGAAGTAGGGCAAAGCTGTTCTGTAGACTCTGGCCTGGGTTAATTAAGTCTTCCATGATGTTTCAAGGGAAGTTCATAGGATGAATGCTTTATCTCCTGGTTTGCTATCATTTTCTAGGCAGTAGGCCATTGTGCATAACTTTAGGAGTTGCAGGACTCATTTATATTTAACCCACTCCCAGAAGTTCCTTTCCTCCTCAAATTTATTTTAGTTTAGTTTAATTTTTGCAGTGCTGGAGATCTAATCCAGAGCCTTGTGCATGCATGGTAGGCAAATGCTGTACCACTGAGCTACCCTCCTAGCTAGCTATCCTTCAGATTTAGATTTGGCACATGTGATGATTATTTAAATATGCAAACATTAAGCTATAGGTTAGTCCCCTGGGCCTTCTTTGATGAATAATGTTAGCACTGATAGGAGGCCAGCAGGAACAGAGGATCATGGGTGGGGGGGCTAGGGTGTTCACAGAAAAAAGAATTCTCAAAGATCTTTGGAGTGACTAAGATTCAGAGAGTTTTTAAAAGAATAGGCTTTGACCAGATCAGTCTTCTTCCTCCTGTTTTCAGATTTATTTTTTATTTCTTGTCCTCTTCACCCCCTTTTCCTTTGGTCCTTAGTATAAGGTCTTTGCTTTGGCATCTGACATTAATGTATCACTATAGAGTGAGTAGTTCTACTTATTTATAACATTGCATTTCAGTTGGCTATACAAATTTTATTAACATACCTAATCATCTAATTATTGAAATGTTGGTAAAATAACTGCTTGAAAACATAAGAATCAAATTCTATGGTGATTGTGGGAGCTTAGTAATACAAGATTAGATCATTTGGGCAAGGGACTTAGATCAGAGGTAGAGTGAGGCCTTAAGTTCAGTCCCCTGTACTGCAAAAAGAAAAAGAGAAAAGAAAAACATAGACTATTTTGTCTATTTTAAGTCACCTATCTTTTGGACATAAGTCATTGTCACTTTATTTAACAGATTCAGAATGTACATTGTCCCCAACATTGTCCCACATACCAGGGATACAAAAAGGAATCCTTATCTTCTAGAAGCATGTAGTCTGATCATGGCAGTGGACACATACATAAATGTAGTTAAATGATATAGGTATTAAAGACTGTAGCAAAATGGGGTGGGGTTTAATTTTGAAAAATAAGTGTTTACCAGGTGAAAAAGTATCTGAGTATAGCAGAGGAAAGCATTCTTATCTGAATGGAAATAAGCAGAGCTATGGTCGTATAAAATACAGTAAATCGCACCAGCACTTTAGTGTGACTGGGAGGTGAAACTGACAAAAGATGTGTTTGAGGTCAGAGAGTGGAAGTTCCTTTTTACCCTGCTAGAGCTTGGGCTTGATCCTTCTGCATTGATGGGAAGGTTTTTAAGCAGTGAGGTAATATGATCCCATTAGAATTTTAAAGACCATTCTGGTAATAGTTAAAGGAAGGCTGAGGGAGGCTGAGGCTGGGGACAGGGAGACTGGTTAAGAAATTTTTCAAATAGTCTAGGTGAAGAGATGATGAGGGCTTTCACCAAGGCAGTCCCCAGAAAATGGAGAGGAAGGGACTAATGTCAGACATGTTAATCAGATAGAGATTGACAGAACTTGAAGTGGATTGATTGATTGTGAGGGCCAAGGAAGAAAATGAGGTCTCAAAGGCAAATAAGGTGAGCTAAGTTGAGTAACATATTCAAGTAGATATATTAGGGCAGTCGTTTGGCTTTAAAGTTCTAAAATTTGGGAGAGAAACCTGGGCTGAGATTTAGGTTTAAGTCTTGGCATGTAAGTAACAATTCTAGTTATAATCTTGGCATTTTGGGTCATCAGGCAAACTTTGTCTCTAACTTGTTTTATTCAAGACAGGGAGGTGAAAAGGGCTGTTGATACTATACTGAGATCTTCCCCTGTAGCCAATAGTGAAATAGTTCCTTTTCCTTATTTCTCAGGTTGGATTATGAGTGTTTGCTTAGTTTAAAGATACATCATGGGCTACAAAGAATGCTAAGATTCTTAGGAATGTAATTACGTGGAAATTCATGTTTGGTTGGCTGTTGCCCTTCTCTGTCTTCTAGCTTACTATTGGACTGCTATGTCATTGTGGATGATTTGTCATTATACTTGGGTTTGGTGCCAGTAATTTCTCATCTAATCAATATGAGTATCTTGCCATGGTTCCACTCTAGAATTTCAGTATTTTCTCAGTGGATGAAAAAGTTTTACAAGGATTTGGTCCCTGGGTCACTGTTGCTTTTACATTGCAGGTTGTGCCATGAGTGGGCTAATTGCTGATGCTAAGACTTTAATTGATAAGGCCAGAGTGGAGACACAGGTAAAATGGGCATCTTCTTTTTACTCTGATGCTTGAGTTCCTTGTTCAGTGATGGCATAGCTGCCTAGGCTACATTGCAGGTGTATGTCAATATTAGATGTAGCTCTTAGGAGTGATTTTGGGTAGAATTCCTAGTTGCAACTTCTTAAGAGCTTAGCCATCTCACCTTGAGAGCTTTAAGAAAGCTCTGGTCAGTAGAGCTAACAGTCTTTTGCTTCTTCTGGATTTGCCTGTGTAAAGCACACATATTACATTCTGTTCCCTGACTGGCTTTTCATGGGAGTGTCATGGCAGGAGGTAGTCATGGTTAAAGGGAGTTTTCTCTCCAGCTGCCTGTTCTTGCCAGGCTTGTAAGTAACTGCTCTCTTTTGATTTGCACCAGGTGACAAATACGGGTTAGGGATGCTGATTTTTTTCTTTTTTAAAAAACTGAGTCCCTGTGCTGGTGGCACACGCCTGTAATCCCAGCACTCAGGAGGCTGAGGCAGGATTGCTGTGAGTTCGAGGCCAGCTTGGGCTACATAGTGAGTTCAAGGACAGCCTGAACTACGTAGCAAGACCCTGTCTCCAAAAAAATAAATGAATAAACTGAGTCCCTGTGGCCTAGAGGTAAGCTAGTAGGAAAAAAAACCCTCAAGGTCAGTTTTTTTGTACTTGTTTGCATATTTGCTCTTAGTACTTTGTAAGAATAAGTAATTTAACATAAACACAAACATTAATGATAAGGTAGGATCTTTGAGAGAAAGTAGCAGTTGGTTATTAGCATTCGCTTTGTGAAAAGACTAAACTAGATGCTTTTACAGGTAGATGCTGCCTTTTGTGGAGTAATCTACTAGTTCTATCAGAGTAATCCACTAATTATATTGTAGTTTTAAACCCTTTTGATATCCTTATTGCCAGAACTGTTTGTCTTCTCATGCAGTCCCAAATACTCAGTGGCTAGTGTTAATTAGGAAAAATGCATTTGAGTCTTCAGTCTCCAACCACGGTTTAAAAGGATGGGTGTAGTGAGGTGGTGGACTGCTTTCATGCCCTTCTTTTAGAAGGATATTCCATTCTTTACTCTTTAGAACCACTGGTTTACCTATAATGAGACAATGACAGTGGAGAGTGTGACCCAGGCTGTGTCCAATCTGGCCCTCCAGTTTGGAGAAGAAGATGCAGATCCAGGCGCCATGGTGAGTGTAATGCTTGTGTTGAATTTATATATGTTCTATAGGACTTAGTATATTTACCCCTCTATGCATATTTTCCCAGCCCCTCTCACCCCTTTACTTCATAGCCACTTATTATAATACCTCTTGCTTTTTGGTACCAGTCTCGTCCTTTCGGAGTAGCACTGTTATTTGGAGGAGTTGATGAGAAGGGACCCCAGCTGTAAGTACCATTTTGCTGGCTTTTTCCCCCCTACTTTTGGGGGAAGGATAATGAGTATTTTAATTTGAGGTGGGGACTGGTATATTAAATCAGTAAAGAAGATTATTACAGAATTGGGGGGAAAAGAAGGGCTTCTAACTCTTTAATAGTAATTCTGTGCTGTTCATCCAAACAAATCTGGAGATCCATGAAAAACTTCCCTATAGGAATCAGTGTTAAATTGTGGAAAGAATTAGAAGTAACCTTGTTATAGTGGGGATATGTTTTAGAGCTCTGCTTTGAAATGTTGCTCTGTTCCTCATTTTCAAATATGATGTAGGCATACACAAGTGCCATATTTATATATACTATATTGTACTTCTAAATCCCTGAGGAAGTTAGTAATTTCCTTAAACCCTTTTTAAGAGATCTAGTTTCTCAAAACAGAACATCTTTTGATGCTGTGCCTCAGTATTTCAGGGCCATTTCTTGGTTATAGGACCACGTACTTATACTTTTTTAGTGAAATGTTTGTTACATAAAATACCACCACTCTTAAGGATTTTAATTCTCTTCTTTTGGGATACTTTGCAGGTTTCACATGGACCCATCTGGGACCTTTGTACAGTGTGATGCTCGAGCAATCGGCTCTGCTTCAGAGGGTGCCCAGAGCTCCTTGCAAGAAGTTTACCACAAGGTAATTGAACATTCTCACAACACCTATCATTATTTTTAAATCATGGTATAGTTTACATATAATAAAACTGAACTAACAGTTCAGTTCTATAAGCTCTAACCATTGTATAGACCCTTGGAACCACAATCTACAGCAAGATAATAGAAAACTTCCATCACCCACCAAAAATGCTCATCTGTTTCCCAGTTGATCTTTTTCCTCTGTTGTAACCATGCATACCACTATCGATTAGTTTTGCCATCCTTGTATTTTTTGTAAATAGAATTATAGAGTTTGTCATTTTTGTTGTTGTTCAACATGATGCTTTCATTTGGTTGGTTTTTGTTTTGGTGCTTGAGATTAAACAGGGTCTTGCATGTGTTAAGTGCATGCTGTACCACTAGCTGCACTCCCCTCCCAGTATTCTCTGGCATACTGTTTTGAGATCTGTTTATGTTGTTGAATCAATAGTTAATTGGTTTTTATTTCTGAGTAATATCCCATCGTGTGGGTATATGTCAAAATGTTATCCACTATCCTCATAGCTTCACTTAGTAGTTTTGTGGGGGTTTTTTGGTACCGAGGATTGAACTCGGGTCCTTATGCTTGCGAAGCAGGCGGCGAAACCTCTGAGCTAAATCCCCGGCCCTTCACTTAGTAGTTTTTATACTTCCTCATCTGACTCTTGAAGCAAGTGGATATTTGGTACTTTCTTTTTGGGAAGGAAAGATTTGGTTTTATGTAACTTATTGGTGTGGCTGAAAGCTGCTGTATTTACCATTCAGGTCGTTCACACATGGATTCCTGCTCACATCAATTCCTAATACAGGTGTACTTTGGAGGTACTTGGGGTTGGGTTCAGATCACACAATAAAGTGAATGTTGCAGTATAGTGATCGCAGAATTTTTTGGTTTCCCAGTGCATATAAAAATTATGTTTATACTATACTGTATATATGTATATATGTTTATACTATACTGTAGACTACTAAGTATGCAATAGCATTGTCTTTTCAAAATATATATGCCTTTTTAAAATACCTACTAAAAAATACAAATTATCTGAGCCTTTAACAGATTGTAATTTTTTTTTTTTAATTGTTTTTTGTTTTTTGTTTTTTTGAGACAGGGTCTTGCTATGTAGTTCAGGCTAGCCTTGAACTCATTATGTAGCCCAGACTGGCCTCAAAATTGCGTCGATCTTTCTGCCTCAGCCTCCTGAGTGCTGGGGTTACAGGTGTGCACCACCACACCCGACAACAAATTATAATCTTTTCGGGGCTGGGGATTTAGCTCAGTGGTTTTGTCGCCTGCTGCACAAGCGCAAGGACCCAAGTTTAATCCCCAGTACCAAAAAAAAAAATTATAATCTTTTCCCTGGTGGAAAGTCTTGCCTTGATATAGATGGTGCCTTACTGATCAGGGTGGTGGTTGCTGAAGTTTAGGGTAACTGTGGCAATTTCTTAAAATGAGAAGACAGTGAAGATTGCTGCATCAATTAACTTTTCCTTTCTTGAAAGATTTTTCTGTAGCACGCAGTGCTGTTTCATCACATTTACTCACAGACTTGCTTTCAGAATAGGAGGCAATCCTCTCAAGACCTCCAATTTATTTATTTTTTGGTACTAGAGATCGAACTCGGATCCTTGCGCTTATGAGGCAGGCGGTGGATCCACTGAGCTAAATCCCCGGCCCCTAGCCCTCCTATTTTTATCAGTTAAGTTTATATAGTATTTCTAGATCCCTTCTCTTCTCAGTGTTCACAGCATTTTCACAAAGAGTAGATGCCATTTCAAGAAACCACTTTCTTTGCTCATTCTTGAGAAGCAACTTCTCGTCCACTAAAAGTTTTATCATGAGATTGCAGCAATTTAGTCATATCAGGGTTCCATTTCTAATTCTAGGTCTTTGCCATTTCTGCCACATCTGTGTTTACTTCCTCATTGAAAACCTCTCACAGTGATCCATGTGGGCTGGAATCAGCTTCTTCCAAACTCCTGTTAATGTTGATAGTTTGACCTCCATGAAACACACATGTTCTGAATGGAATCTAGAATGGTAACTCTTTCGGGGGTTTTCAGTTTATTTGCCTAGATCCATTGGAAGAATCACTGTCTCGGGCAGCTACAGTATCTCCTTAGATGTATTTCTTCAATAATCAACTTAGAAGTTGAATGACTCTTTGATATGTGGGCTACAGAATGGATATGAAAACATCAATCTCACTGTACATCTACATTAGAACTCTTGCATGACTGGGTGTGTGCATTGTAGCAATATTTTGAAAGGAATTTTTTTTTCTGAGCTTTTGCTCAGTCGTGGGCTTAAAATATTCTGTAAACTTTGTAAATAGATGTGCTATAATGGGAGCTTTATTATATTTCAAGAGAAAAAGCAGAGTAAATTTAATAAAATTACTTTTTTTATTCTTTTTTTTTTTTTTGAGGTGGGGTTGAGTACTGGGGTTTGAACCCAGGGCCTTCTCACTGAATTACATCTCCATCCAGTTAAGTTGCCCAGGCTGGGCTTCAACTTGTGGTCCTCCTGCCTCAGTTGCCCAGAGTGCTGGGATTACAGGTGTGCTATCACACCTGGCTAGCTTAATATAAACCTTAAGGGCCTGAAGATTTTTAGAAGGGTAAATAAGCATTCACGTCAACTTAAAAGTCACCAGCTGCATTAGCCCCTAATAATAGTCATTTAATCGTTTAAAGATTTGAAGCCAGACATTGATTTCTCCCTAGCAATCAAAGTCCTACATGGCAACTTCTTCCAACATAAGTTTATTTTGTCTGCACTGAAAATCTGTTGTTTATTGTAGCCACCTTCATCACTGATCTAAGTTAGATCTTTTGGATAACTTCCTTGAGCCTCTACATCAGCAGTAGCTGCTTCACTTTGCATTTTATGTTACAGAGATGGGTTTTTTCCTTAAACTTCATGAGTCAGTATCTCCTGACTTTCAGCTTTTCTTCTGTAGTTTCCATAACTCTTATCAGCCTTCTTAGAATTGAAGAGAATTCTGGCCTTGTTTTGTATTAGGCTTTAGCTCAAGGGGATGGTGTGGCTGCTTTGATCTATCCAGACCACTAAAACTTTTTCCATATCAATAATAAACCTGTTTCACTTTTTTCTCATTTATATATTCACTGGAGTAGCACTTTTAATTTCCATCAAGAGCTTTTCTTCTGCATTTACAACTTGGCTAATTGTTTGGCACAACAGGCCTAGCTTTCAGCATATCTTGACTTCCAATATGCCCAACTCACTAAGCTTAATCATTTCTACCTTTTATTATAAAGGTGTGAAACTCTTGCTCTCACTCAAACACTTTGAGACCACTATATAGCAATTAGTTATTTCAAATTTCAGTATTATGTCTCAGGAAATAGGAAGGCCCCAGGAGAGAGAAAGAAATGGGGTAATAGCTCGTCAGCAGAGCAGTTAGAACAGTTTCTGTATTTATCAACTAAATTCATTGTCTTATATGAGTAAAGTTTGTGGCACTCTGAAGCAGTTATAATAGGAAGATCAACAATCACTGATAGATTACCATAAGAGATAATGTGACACAGAGATGCAAAGTGAGCACAGGCTGTTGGAAAAAATTTTGCCAATAGACCTAACCAATGCAGGGTTGCCACAGAACTATTTGTTAAAAACTCAGTATCTGCTCAGGGCAATAAAAAAAGGTATGCCTGTAGTATTGATTTTGTATGTGCAGGAAATTAGATACAAATGGAATAAAAAAGTGGATTTTCTAAACTGTTGGCCTACCTGTTTATATCATTTGGACATTCTTATCCATAGGCTATCATCAGTATTATATTATCTTCTAAATTAAAAGAAGAGGGCTAAGATATAGCTCAGTGGTAGAGCACTTGCCCAGCATGCATGAGTCCCTGGACTTGATCCCCAGCACTGCAAAAATTAATTAAAAGAGGAATTTAGATGTATACTGGAGAAGTACAGCCCTTTCGTGTTTTTGTTTTTGTTTTTTTTTAATAGTTGAGCATTTGTATACAATTTAAGTTTTATTGAGCCCTTTTGCTTTTTAAAGATCATTTTCTATATGAAAGTTGGTGACTGGCTCAAAATAAGCTATCTTATCCTCTGAATAAGTGTATTTTGCTTACCATATACTTGACTATTAGGACACTTACAATGCACTGTACAAATTAAGATGTTTGATTTATGTATTAATATTTGCTGAATCATTTCTTGAAGGAAATAAAAGGGAAATCTTTGAAGCAAGGAGGGATTATATATAATTAATGTAATAGCTCACTGTCTCTTTGTTTGAAGTCTATGACACTGAAAGAAGCCATCAAGTCTTCACTTATCATCCTCAAACAAGTAATGGAGGAGAAGCTGAATGCAACTAACATAGAGGTATTTTTCTATTTCTTTGGTTTTTTTGTATTGTTCCCATTGGGGGAAATTGAATAGATTAAAAAAAATCACATATGCTCAGTTTTTATTGATAGGATTTGAAAAATAAGCAGCTTGAGTAAAGTGGTGATGGCACCACTTAAGGATGAGGAAAGATTTAAATACTTTTGTAAACTGAGGAAACTGGTGGCTAGAAAAATACTAAACAAAGGGAATAGTTAGTAATAGAAAAGTCCTAAAAGCAGGAAGACATGGTACAAATGAAGGAGTTGGTTTCAGAAAGTAAAATTAAATCAGCATCACATTGAGTACCTGTTATATGGCAGGGACACAGGTACGATTCCTATTTAAGCAGTATATATAGGGTAGGGGACATACAGTTGCATGAGGTGAAACTTCTCTAGCAGCAATAAGAACACATTGCTGCATGATCATATAAGGTAGACTAACGCATCAAGAAAGCATCCTGGAAGTGGAATGTTTGGAGAAAGGAGCAGAAAAGCTATTCCAGGAAGAGAGAACAGCATGTACAAAGACTCAAAAATGTAAAAGAACTTTGTGTTTAACAAGGAACTCTGAGTTTTATTTGACTGCTGTGTGTGTGGTATATGTAAGGTAGAGGAGTTGCAAGAGATGAGACTGGAGGGGTGTGGACCATGTACTGAATATCCTGTTTACAGTGTTAACTAAGTATAGATAGAAAGGAAAGTAGTGATAAATAAAGATAGGTAAGTGTGGGGACAAATTGGGAGAAATGTCCTATATTTGCCTAGAGATGGTTAGGTCATCTGCTAAGCATCAGTGAATATAATAGTGAAATTAAGGAGAATAGGAAATATTTAGAAAAGTCATTAAGGATAGGGAAAAGGGAAGATCAAGAAAACTAAAAAGATTGCTGGGCCACATTAAAACACTTCCTGAGGCTGAAGTCACAAGACAAATTGTTCCCAAAAATCAGGATAAGCCAGGCATGGTGGTGTATACCTATGATCTCTAGTCTGGGAAGCTAAGACAGGAGAAGCCCAAATTCCATTTCAGCCTTGGCAAGTTAGAATTTAGCAGGACTCCGTCTCAAAAAAACGGTGTACGGAAATAGCTCAATGGGAAGGCCCACGGTTCAATCCCTAGTACCAAAAAGGGGGGTGGGGTGTGAGATAAAAGGATTATACTTCTATAATCACAGCTACTTGGGGGTCTTGGACAGAATGATCACAAGTTCTAGACCAACCTGGGTTAGTGAGACCTTGCTGAAGTTAAAAAAAAAAAAAATAGGGCCAGGGATTTAGCTCAGTGGTTCCGCCACCTGCCTCGCAAGCGTAAGGTCCTGAGTTTGATCATTGGTACCAAAAAATAAATAAATAAAATAAGGGACAGGGATGTACCTCAGTGGTAGAGGACTTGCCTGGAGTGTATCAAGACCTTGAGTTCAGTTCCCCTATATACGCACACAGATACAAAGTCAGCATAGAGGTTCTTTTACAGGCATGGTACATATGTATATTTTACTTCAGTTATAAAGATTGAAAGGCCAAATAATACTGTAATTGTTTGTTAACTTCGTAATTATCAGCACCTGCCAGGATGTTTGTCTGCCCTACTCATGAGAAAATGGTTAATGTCTGATAGGGATTGACTAAGAACACAAGAGCAGAGAGTGTTGTTGACAGGTGTCAAAAACAGCTAGGTTAAGGCTGGGGATTTAGCTCAGTGGTTCCCCTGCCTGCCTTGCAAGTGCAAGGACCAGAGTTCAATCCCCAGTACACAAAAAACCAAAAAAAACCAAATAATCAAAAACTGCTAGGTTCATAGGACACTATGGAAGGGGCAAAACCGGACACTAAAAGAGGGGCTGGCCTAAAAGTGAGAAATTTGAGAGAGGGTGTAGGTCAGTGATTGTGAACCTTTTAGAGACAAGTGCCCACACTGCAACCCAAAACCCATTTATCACACAAGTGCCAAAACTGCAATTAAACCTGAATACTGAGGTTTTCAGTTTAAAAAAAAAAAAAATTAACATCTTTTGGCTTAAAAGAGAAATAAGACGCACGGCATAGGTTTGCTGCACTGGTGTAGGTGGTTGGGTTCCCCTTGAGCAGTAGTAGAGGGCAAGGGGTTTAACATGGTTCCTCAGTGGAAAACTTTATAAATATCCTTTTTTATCTTCTTAACAAAGATCTGAAAATACTTCCCCTTTCTTGACAATCTCTATAATCAGATTCAAAGGATGTAATAATGCTCCACTTTCTAGTATGGTTGTTTTCTTTGGTACTGACCAAGATGGGATCTTGGCATTTTGGCAAGATATCTCCTTGCCACCTATTGTAATATAGCTCTTGATTTCACAGTGAAGGCTCTGAGGCTCTTTGGTTCAAAGATGTTTTCTTTTTTTTTCTTTTGGTACCAGGGATCGAACTTAGGTCCTTCACTTGTGAGGCAGATGGCAGAACCACTGAGCTAAATCTCTGGCCCCCAAAGATATTTTCTAGTTCATTTAGTTTCAGTGCCTGTATTATAGTGTTGCTTTGAAAAGAGCACCAAGTATGTCTCATTCACACTCCATCAGCCACAGTAAGCTCCTGGGTATCATTTTCTTCATATTATAAAAGGGGCATTTCTGCTTGCCCAAGACTGCTCTACCAGTGCTTTAACCCATGGTTTCCAAACCAGTCTGTCCGTAAGTGTCTTTGGAAATGAGGCCCAGAGAGTTATTTTTTAAAGCTCCTCAGGTAATTCTGATGGTCAGTCTAAGGAAGATAGACAGGTCCTTCATCCCCTATCTGTTTTAGGTCCTTAGCTCCCATCAGTTGTCTCCTGGATCTGCATCCCTCAGAAAAGGAAAATGGCCAATTTGCATCTTTCTTTCTTTTTTGGGGGGTGGGGGGGTGGTACCGGGGATCAAACTGGGGACCTTGTGCTTGCGAGGCAGGCAGCGGAACCACTGAGCTAAATCCCTGGCCCTGCATCTTTCTTTAAAAAACAAAAGAAGTAGAAACTACCTTCACTTAATCCTTTTTAAAGAAACCAATTTTGGTGTGGGGGGTGTAGCTCAGAGGTAGAGCACTTGCCTGATATGCACAAGCCCTGGGTTTGATAAGCAGCACTGGGAAAGAAAAAAGAAGGGCCGCCTGCCCTGTAAGTGCAAGGACCCGAGTTCAATCTCCGGTACCAAAAAAAAAAAAAAAAAGGATCGAGGAAGGGGAAAGAGAAAATAGAGAAATTTTTTTCTGATGTACTTTCTGTAATTATAGATTTATGCTCTACAGTTTGATACAAATGGAATCGTACAATATGTATTTTTTGTTTTAGACTCAGCATGATTTTGAAATCCATCCATGTGTGTATATCAGTTGTCTATTAAAACTTTTATTACTTTTTTTTTTTTTTTTGGTACTGGGGATCGAACTCAGGTCCTTACGCTTGCGTAGCAGGCTGCAAAACCACTGAGCTAAATCCCTGGCCCTAAAACTTTTATTACTAAGAGGTATACTGTCCATCCTCTTTTTTTAACCTTTATTGCCAAGTCTCTTCCAAACAGAAGGTATATTCTGTATCTCAACTACTTTACCTGTCATTTCTTCTTTTTTTTTTTTTCTTGTACTAGGGATCGAACTCATGATCTTGCACTTGGCAGGCAGGCGCAGCGCCATTGATCTACATCCCCGGCCCCACCTGTCATCTATTCTTCAGTCATTACCATTTATTTTGGCTGTTTTTATTTTCATGAAATTTCTCCTTGCTAAGATAACCTCAGTTTATTAGATTTCCTGGTCACTATTATTTGACCTTTTTGAAGCATTCATGTCAAAATTGGCGAATTTTTTTTATTAGTAGCACATGTTTGCAGTACATAATGATTACATTCCTTGTGAGGAGTTGGTACATGTACATAACACATCTTAGTTCTTTTTTCATCCCTTCCCCTTTCCTTCCTCCTCGCTCCCTTAAATCATTATCTTTCAAAAAAAATGTTCCTCTTTCTGTAGTTATTATAGCAGTTGATGATGCCTCCATTGTATTTGTCATTCACACCAGAAACCCAGAGGACTTTGATTTTCCTTTCCCATCACTAAATTGTGTTTTGCCTCTTAAAAATTCTCTTTATCAGTGCCCCTTCTCCATCTCTTATTTCCAGAGTATGCCTTTTGGTTAGCCCCATTTTTCTCTTATCTTCAGAGGTCCCCTGGTCTTCACCCTTACCTTCCTTCATTTCAGTCCATTTTTTCACTTATTGTGCTACCGGTCCACATCTAATATTAATTGTTCTTCAGTTAAAAACTTTTTCTTACTCCTGCTATCTTCAAGATAAATTACAAATTTTTTTTGATGGCATAATTCACAACTTCTTAAGTCATATGTTTAATCTTTTAAGTACTTTGCTAAGCATTTTACATGCACTTTTTTCTTTTATCCTTGCAACTCTATGCAGTAGGTATTCTTATTTCCATTTTACAGAGGAGGAAACTAAGGCAAGGGGACAGACAATAGCAGAACTGATAAATGGTGGAAGCAAAATTTGAATCCAGGTTTGAGTTTAGGTCCTTGTATACTTAGCCACTGTACTATATACTCTATGAACTCTGACCCCCGGTTCTCCATGTCATCTCATATTCCATGTGTAACCTCTGGTGAAACCATACCGTATTACTTTGTTTTGAAGATACATCATGTTTCATGTTTCTATGCATTTGCACATTCATTTACTCTGTTCTCCTTGACTGATCTATTCTTGCTCTGATTTAACACATTCATGATGGGGCGGTACATAATGACTGTCCTATCAGGCAGCTTGTACTACTCAATATGACTGTCCCTTGCCACCCAATGGGACAGTCCTGCATGTACCACCAGTGGTTCAAGCTGGTGGGAATGTGTTAATATATGACACAAAGGTTTCCTCTCCTTGAAGTCTTCCTGGGCTCCTCCAGGTCAGGGCATTCTTTTACATATGATTAGCTCTATTCTGTACACTTACCCAACCTTAAAAGCATCTAGCATCCAAGCCCTTAGTAAATAAGACAGGGATTGTCTTCATCTTTGGATCCCAAGTCCCTACTACAACTTGAACTAGTAAAAAAATTAATAATTGATGGAAGAAATGAAAAAGTATCTGTTCTGCCTGCCTCACAAAAGTTTTTCAAAGTAAAATGAATAATAAATAGAAAAGTTACCTTCATGTTCATTATGTAAATCACATTTATCATTATGTAAATAAAAAGACGTATTTTTACTCATTTATTAATGAGTAACTTCCTGAAAGCAGTAGTTGGTTCAAATTCTATTAGTATTGATTCTCGTCTTGGTTCTATAGGACTGTTCTATTCAGAGCTTGCTCCATTTTTTGTTATTTAGCCCCTGTAATGTTTTGGAGTGGTTAGCCTATGAGCCATGAATGACTTAAAACATTCTGTAGTCCTTTAACTCATCTCTAATTTATTGGCCTTCTATCCCTCTGTCTTCATTGTCATTGATCTAGTGAAGATGTAACTTCAAAGAAGTGGCAATAACAACTACATTTTTAAGTATTCTTATAAAAGAACTTACAGTCTATATGGACTTTAGTTTACATATATTTTGCAAATATATTTGGGATTCTTCAGACATTTCATGTAGTTGAATATATCTTTTGGAAAAATCTAGATACTGCAGGCTTTGAAAAAATTTTTTCCCCAGTACTAGGTATTGAACCCAGGTGCACTCTACCACTAAGCTACATCCCCAGGGCTTTTTATATTTTTAACTTTGAGATAGGGTCTTGCTAAATTGCCCAGGCTAGTCTTTAACTTGTGATCCTCTTGTCTCAGCCTCCTGAGCAACTAGAATTATATTGTGTGTGCCACTATGCTCAGTTCTTTAGTCTCTTCTCTGACCAGATCATCAGATGTTTTAAGATATGCAGGAGACTTATCATGAATTTTACTTAATGGATGAGGCAGAGAATAAAGATCATGTAGCTAGATTGTGTTAATTCTTCCTGGCAACTTTCAAATTACATTAGATATCATTAATGACTATTACTTAAAATGCCTTAGTGTGTTTAATTTTAAAATTAAAAAAGACTGAGAAAATGACATTTAAAACTAAACATAGTGGGGCTGGAGATTGAGCTCAGTGGCACTGCACCTGCCTCGCAAGCACAAGGTCCTGAGTTCGATCCGTGGTACCGAAAAAAGAAAATTACTACACAAAACTAAACATAGAAGCTTTTGAGACAAATGGGAAGTGGCAGTTGTTCCTCAGTATTTCCCCAAAATATGGGACTATGATTAGCAGAGATGATGGAAAATCTGGTAGTTGCATTTAAATTTGAACTAATCATTTTCTGGCCCTATTTTTTTTTTGTTTTAATAGATTATAGTCTGGACCATTAGTTATCACCGATACTCTCAGTCACAACTGATTTCCTATGCCAGTGTTATTAGAATCTTTCCATAGCCAGTCCTTTTATAAAACAAAGCAAACTTTTTGTTCTTAGGTTGCCACACAATTTTAGAGAGAATATCTAATAATAGTTAACAATTATTTGGAGCTTATTATGTTCTAGGCACTGTTCTCAGGATTTTACATACATTAACATTAATCCTAATTATTCTGAATTAGGTAGTTTTAGATAAGGACATAGAGTAACAGTGGCCAAATAACCAGAGGCCACACATACCAGCTCAACTTGGAAGTATAAATGTGCTATTTATTTATTTGTCATTCATGCTGGGATTGAACTCAGCTTCAGGTATGTTAGATAAGCACTGTACCACAGCTACATCTTCAGCCCTTTGAATGTATTTCTAAAGGAATCTTTAGTAGAAAAAAGTATTGACTTCATGTATTTTGTTGCTGCTTTTGTGATCCTTGTTGAAGTAACTTCAAGAATTAACAGTGATGCCAGGCATTTGGTTAACTATTATATGGTCACTTAACCTTAAAATAGATAATTTGGTCAAGAAGAATTTTTATTTTGGAGTCAGAGAGCTATTTTAGGGACTGGCTGCCTGGAAAGGATATCCCTGAGACAGCAGATCCCTTAGTTCCTAATGAACAGCTGCATCACCAACACGGCCTCTCCTGACCACGCTAGGGCCATTGACAGCGTAACTGAGCCCAGCTTATTAACCCCTGTTTTCTTTCCAGCTAGCTACGGTGCAGCCTGGCCAGAATTTCCACATGTTCACAAAGGAAGAACTTGAAGAGGTTATCAAGGACATTTAAGGAAGAGTGATCCTCAGAACTTCTCTGGGACAGTTTTAGTTCTCCTCATTACCCTTAAATTTTATTTCCAACTCCTGTTCCTTGGAAAAATCTCCAGTGTATGTGCATTTTTTTATGATATCTGTACATAACGGCAGTTCTGAAATAAAGAAAATTTTAAAATATTTGTTAATGGTCTGTACTCTTATAATGCAGTCTTTTGTTTGAAATATTTATGTTAGTAGGGAGAAAAGGATGGTGATGTTAACATCTGTCCTGTGAGAATGTGTTCTAAAATTATTGTACTAGCTCTCTAAAACACATGTTAACTCCTGCCGTGAATTCCTAGGTTTTGGTAAAAAACTAGTCCAGGCCAGGGGGTTTTTAGCTCAGTGGTTCCGCTGCCTGCCTCGCAAGCGCGAGGACCCAAGTTTGATCCCCCAGTACCAAAAAACAACAAAAAACTAGTCCAGCTCCTCCCAGTGGTTAACATGTTAATACCACTGTAAAGCCATTTCAGTCCTTTGCAGCTGTGTTTATCTGTGCAAATTTGATCCAGGGCCTTTGTACTAAGCTACATTGCCTGTTCTTTTTTATATTTTTAAATTTTGAGATGGGGTCTCAGTTGCCCAGAATGGGCTTGAACTTTCAATCCTCCTGCCTCAGCCTTCCAGAGTGATGATTACACTGCTATTTTTGCTGCTGCTTTTTTACATAAGGAGATGCAGCTAAATGACCATCAAAACAACATGTTTGCCCCCCCCCCCCAAATTGATGGGTTGGTATATGCCATTTAAAATGTACTAGTTTTTGGGCTGGGGACTTAGCTCAGTGGTGCCATGCCTGAGTTCGATCCCTGGTACTACCCCCCAAAAAAAGATAGAAAATGTACCTAGTTTTTGTTTCTTGATGGACAATTTGGAAAAAGATTTCCCCCAAAGTTTAGGACTATAGAAAAAATTTATGACCTTGGCCTCATTGGCAATCAGTTAAATCTAGGCCATATCCATAAGAGAATTATAAAATTTGAAAGTTTAAATTTGGATTTGAAATGTACTATGAACTTCCCTTATTAGACCTGTTTAAAGAATAAGTATTTGAGTCTCAAAAAAGTGAGCATAGTGAGTATCACTACTTACTGGATGAAGAATCTAAGGCCACGGGTCCACAGACTTAAACTCACATTTCCCAGTTCCAAATTACCAGCTTTTGAGTAGTAGGGAAATCTCATAGAGATTTGCAATGTACTTGAACTACCCACAACATGGATAATTACATGTGGATGATGCAGAATTGGTTGTAATTCATTAATGGAGGACCTCAAAATTGCTGAGTTCTGTGTACAGCATTGTCTTCATTAGGTACTATTTATGTTAAATAGTAACTACTAGAGTAGGCTGAATTCATTCTAAATTCATACTGTGATCCAGAAAAAAAAACCAATTTGTGCTCATACACATTTGGAAACTACTTTGACAGGAAGCAATTGGGAGAAATTATTTTTGTCCTGGACATACACAGATAAGGAAAAGTAGAGAAAGCTATATTATCCCCAGTGTTCCAGAGACTGGTGACTCAAATCCTATTATTAAATATAACATCGTGAGATTTGTTTAGCCATTAGTTTGTTTTATTAAATCCTAATAGAAAATTTATTTAAAAAATCCTACCTTGACTTCTATTAACATTTATTGAGAACCTCCCTACTATAATGTATTAGGTATTGGAAATAAAGGTATGAACACACTTTGGCCTTTATATGGTCTGTAAAATGAATCCAGTGGGAAGAATCAGACAATAAACGTTCCCTTTAAACACTAGGTTAATGTATAAATGCACAAAACTCATGGAGCTTTAGAGAAAGGTGAGCTGTGCCTCTGAATCACATGTAGGAAGAAACATACTAAGGAAAAACTCAGCCTAGCTCTCTTAGGCTTTAGCTAGTAGGCTATAGGGTATAATAGAAAAGTAAAATTTGTATGTTCTATAATTATAATGTGCATTCTTCAAAGAACTTTGATTTTTTGTTTAAAAATATTAAAACGTGTCTTGTCTTAAATACACTTATTAGGAAAAGCAATGGTTTGTGGTTTGTAATTTGCTTTACCTTAATCTGCTATACATTATTTTAAAATAACAGTTTTTAGTAATAAGATAAATTTACATATTTTAGTTCTGCAATAAGGTAAGATCTTATGTGGAGTATTTTGCAAAGAACTGCCACTGCAACTTGTATTTTGTGCCTGTCATTAGATAAAAACGAAAGAGTAAAAGCATTTTACTCATTCAGACATTTTCTCAGGCCATATGCAAGGAACCATGTCTCCAGCAACTGATACAGTTTGAGAGGACACCCTTGAGCATATAACTAAAAAGTAACAATAAAAAGTGAAGGTTATAGTCAAAAAGGATATTTGGTAATTTCTCCAGGAGATGGCACTGTTGAGCTGACTTTTCCGACAGTAAGACAATAGACCATTCATCTTTGTGTCGCCCAAACAAAGAAATACTCCTTTATACCGCCCCCCCCCCCCCGCCAGCTTGTCACATGCTACTGGAACTGACTGTCTTGTGATTGACTCCATAGTTGGTATAGATTTTTAAAAAGTAATCTGTATTTTAAGTAACCTGACACATAGTAATTACAGAGTAACACATTGTTCATCAGTTTTCATCAGCTTTGTCTTGTCAGTCCAGTAGTTGAGAACTTCAAAGAACTATTCTGGAAATTTTACTATCCTGCCCAGAACTTTTTACTTCTCCCATCTTACTATCATTGTTTTGGGGAGAAAGTATAAATTTGTAAATCTTTTTGTTTGCAAGTTTACGTGACCAGTATTTTGATGTAAACACCGGGTTAGGTACACTGCACTATTTTAATCTACAATGAATATATTCTCAAGTTTAATACCAGTTTATAGTTAAAGGTAATTTTCAGTTGGTTATGTAACATTTTGAGTATTTTGTCTTTTTTTTTTTTTTTTTTGGTGGTGGTGGTACTAGAAATTGAACTCAGAAAACATATTACACAAGTGCTACTCCACTGAACTATATCCACCGGCCTTTAAAATTTTTTTGTTTGGAGACAGTCTCCCTGAGTTGCCCAGGCTATCTTCAAACTTTCTATCCTGCCTCAGCCTCCCCAGTGGCAGACATTAGGAGTGTCACCAAGCCCGACTATTGGTTACATTTTCTACTGAACAACCTCGAGCAGTGGGAAATGATGGAGTTAGTGAGGTTAAGGATTCAGAACTGGTTTTACCTGTATTGCATGTGCGAAGCTTCTGCAGTAAGGGAAAGTGTCGTAGGGACCTTATTTATTGGAAGCAAGGTGCTAATTTAGGAGACATCATATACTGGAACCAAACTTGTGCGAAGCACTCAGTAGGGTTGAGGCACTTTAGTAAAGATAAATGTGCATCTACAAAATGATCATGTATAAATTAGGTATCAATTCTCTTGCCCCCCTTTACCTGCCCCTAATGCCCAAGCTACATTTGGATTCCAGAAAAACCAGTGAGTTAATTCCTCCTTTGGCCTATTCTCCCTGCAGAAGAGGGCAAACGTGGTGGACAGACTTTTCTTCGGGGTTGTATGAGTCACGGGTGTCCTGGTGTCTATTTGCCTCCGTAGGATCTGCCCCACACCAGGCTGCTTCAGCAGACAATGGATACTCGCTCCGGTGAGCCGGGTTTAAAAACCTGAAGCACCAGTTCGGTTCATGAGGAAGCCCCCTTTTCCAGCTGAGCGAGTTCAGGGACTTCCCCGAAGAGTTTTTTTCCTGCGCTGTCTCAATTAGGAATTTTAGGAGTGTTGGGGGAGGGATTTTGAGGGTGCCAGAAAGAGCAGCGAGGGGGTCCTGAGGCCTCGGAGCCAGGGGGCTCGCGGGAAGGTGGGGAAAGCCCCTCAGACAACTCTGGAAGTCGGGCCCCGGAGACGCTGCGCGAGGGTGGGGAATGACCTCAGCCGTCTCTGCCACGTTCCAGCCAATCAGTCCCGCGTCTTGGCATCCGAATCCAAGACCCCCGAAGCCGGAGGCGACGCGAGCCAATGGGAAGTGGGCCGGGGAAGAAGGACAGGCGGCCGGCCAATGGGGGCGGAGAGGCCCGGCTGCGCGTATCCAAGGAGCGCGGCGCTCGGGCTCGGGGGTGTGGTGCGGCGGGGGCGGGCGGGCGCGCCGGGTGGCAGGTGTCAGCGGCGTCGGCGTTCGGCGACTATGGAGCGGCCCCGGGGAGCTGCGGACGGCCTCTCGCGCCGGCCCCACGGCCTCGGCCTCCTCCTCCTCCTCCTCCTCCTGCTGCAGCTCCTGCAGCCGGTGACCCTCGGCCAGGACCGGCTGGACTCGCCCCCGCCGCCCCCGGCTCGGACGTTGCACTGGCCGGGCCCCGTCGGGGTGAGCTGGGGGCCGCGCGCAGACCCGGGCCCGATCCCCCGCGGCGGCCGTTGGCGCCGCAGCGCGCTCGGCGAGGACGAGGACTGCGGCCAGGTCCGGGACTTCGTCGCCAGGCTGGCCAACAACACTCACCAGGTGAGCGGGCGCCGGGCCCGGGCAACGCCCGGACTGCGCGGTGCGGCCCCAGCCCCTCGCGGCGACCCCTCGCTGTCCCGCGCGCCTCGCGCTTCCCCGCGGGCGACCCGGGCGGCGGCCCCGGAACGGCGGCCGGCGAGGGGGGGGGGGCGGGGGGGGGGACGCTGCGGCCCGTGGGCTGTATTCCGTCACAACGGAGACAATCCTACACTCTCACCACATTCTTTTTTTTTTTAAGTTGTCAAAATCTGAGCGTCATTGTTTTCCGTCTGTATAAATAATCATGTCCAGTAACGTTACTACCTATCAGGAAGCTGGAGGAATAATTACCTCTTAAGTGCTTGCAGGAGAAGTTGGGCTGCGCAGAAGCAGAGGACTGTCCTCTCTGGGTCAGTACTTCCAGAGTGGTGAGGCTAGTGTTCAGAATGCCCAAGGCAGTGTGGTTCGGTCACAGTGTGTATTTTAATGTTAAAGGAACAAGCACAGAAATGAAATGACATTGAAACAGAGCCATAAAACAACTTCCTTGCCCCCTAAAAACTGTTCAGGCTGATTTACGGGATGGAGGTTGCAGAACCTTAAAACTGGACCCAAAATGACCTTGAGAGGCTGTTAGAACCACAAGTTGCTTAAGAAGAAGCTAAGGAACAGAACAGGGCCTCTGGACCCAGATTATGAGCTAGGGGTGCCAGGGTAATTGCAGGACAGACCAGAATTATCCACAAGTTCCACCTGGGCTCACTGACTGGCTGTTGCACCAGGCCACTTAAATTTTTGTTACTGGCCCATCCAGTAGCCTCCCGTTTTCTGGTCATTTAACTTACAGTAAAGCTCTTTTTCTTTGTAAAACCCCATGCCATAGTATTGGCTTCTGTGAGCCTCCAGCAGCAAGCCCTAGCTTAATCGTAATATTATGTATGTGCTTTCTCTTATTTCTTCAGAATTGACCTTCTGTCTTGGTATTGAGCTCTGACTGGGATGTCTCTATCTTATTGTAACAAGATTTTCAATCGCTAAGAAACACATTGCAGATATTCTGCTTTATGCCAGTTCCTGGTCAAAAGACTTAGAGCAGCTCAACCTTTGGCACACTGCTGGACTGAGAAAATTGTTAGGACCTCTGGCTCCTTGCTTCAGTACAACTTGAGTGTCTTCCTCATGTCTTTTTTCTTAAAATTATTGGACTAACATTTGCGAAATGTATTTTCAATTCAATATGTTTTCTCTCTTGTGTCTTTCCCCCTTTCAAAGAGAACTGCATATGGAGGTGGAGATGGGTGGTTAATATTCTGTACCTGCACTCATCCTTATATAACTACATTTCACTCCAGTATCAGCCAACTCTTACTGTTCCTTTGGACTGTGTGGACCATCCTTATTACCTGTGACTTAATTACTTGGGAACACATGACACTTGAAGTTAAGGGACAAATATTCAAAGAAAACTGCATTATCATGTAGTCCAAGCATTGGCTGTATGAAGGTAGCTAACGGTAGGGTAGGTTGGTTGCAGATAGGGTGGAATAAGCACTAGGACGTCTTTCTGTTTGAGAAAAAAAAAAATTGTGTAGACTTCTTTTCACTGTGGGGAGTTGGGAAAGGGTCTCTAACTGATGCTTAATTTATACAGGGACTACATCTTCTTTGGACCAGCCTAACACTCCATCCATATTTCATTCTCACTCCGTATTTCAGATTCTTCTCTTGCTGGTTGACCTACCTTAGATCTGCTGCTACTTCTGGATTTATTCATTTAGTCAAGTCTTCTTGGTTGGTTTGAATTGATAGTCATTTGTAATATGTTGATTCTAAAACAGGAGGTTGAGAAAACGGGCTCAGGTGGATCTGAAAGTACTCATTCTTTGAAGAACGTATGTAAAGAAACCACCCTCTCTTTCATTTTATTTAGCTTCCATTTCTGATCAATCTTTTTTGCTTTATTTTTCGGTCTTCTTTAATCTTATTTAAGATTTTTGCTGTTGTTACTCATCCAAAGTCTGTTCTTCAGAGATTTCATCCTTTTCATAATTTGTATTCTGGTTTTTTAAAAAGTGCAGCTGTTGTTAATACCTTCGTCTTAGAAAATGATTGAATAAAATACGTAACTCTGAAAGGTTCCGCTTCCTTAACCAAGAATTGTTTCATAGTGGTCTGTTCTGCTTTTTAGTTCTATATTTTTAGAAGTCATAATAAGTAATTTTGAACTTTATTGAAGAGATATAGTATTTGGGGGCCTTTTATAAACAGTGTAAAATGAAAGTATCAGCATGACAAAACAATTTTTTATCATAAATATTGTATATTTTTGTATAGCCAAGGAAGGAAACTGCTATTTAGAGTAGTTTTTCATATATAATATGACAGGAGTCAATTCCCAAGAAAAATCAAAAGTTCTTGGTTCTTTTATTTCTTATAACTCAATGCTGTTCTTTTCAAGCCACATTAATCCATAAAATCATTGTACGTGAATACCCTCCAAAGGCCCAGATCTGGGGAAGAACATTGCCAATTACAAAGAAAAGATAATTCAGACAGGAGAATAAAAAACCTCAAAAGGTTTTAACAAATCTCCTAGACCTGTTTCTGTGGCTTCTGAGAATATATCAGCATTTAACTAATCTTAAGAAAACAAAGTAAAACTAGAGCTGGAGAGTGCTTTTATAGTAAAGTGTTAAGAGACCTGTGCCCCAGTGCTGTAGCTCAGGCTTCTTCACTCGTGAAACCCAACAGGCTCTCTTTGCCCAAGCCTCCCTGCTTCTCTCTAGGGGGGCTTCTTTTATATCCTTTCTTTTCCATCTTGGCTTTAAATCTATTTCAGTTGTATTTGGTCTATTGTGGACAGTACTGTATATATTTTTTTCACATAGAAGTCACATTGATTGAGTGTCCTGTTTTGGGATTTGAGGGAGAAGAGGAAAATAATTTTTCTAACTATAGTATTGTAAATATAATAGACTCATAGAACAGTAGAAATAAAAACGATTGGCTGTAACTAAAAACAGAAAACAAAAGGCATGACAGGAAAACAAAGAAAAATAACTACTTATATCTTAACAAAAATTATGCTTCCTAATTTTGTTCTGAGGGTTTGACATGCCATGGAAAGGAGGGAATGTAGTGCTGTGGGGGCGGGCTCCAAGGCCAGCTTGTCTGGGTTTGAATCCTGTCGTGTTACTTATCAGCTGTGTTATAGTTGATAAATTACTTAAGCCCTCTGTGTCTCAGTTTCTAATCTGTAAAATGGAGATAATAAGGCCACTTAATACATAGGGTTTTTGTGAGAAATAAATGAGTATGTATAATGTATTTACATTAGAACAATGTCTGACACTTAACACTCAATAATTAGCTATCATTTTTATTATTACTGATCATTCATAAATACTGTTTTTTAGACTTGGTAGTCTTCCTTTTGCTTTTAATCCAGACTGTTTTCAGGCACCCTTTTAACTGATTCTTTCCTTCAAGTGGTTGAACTGTTCACACATGTATAAACTTTGTACATGAGAGAAATTGAGCAGGGCCAGAAGATTTTATTAATGTTAGTTGCTAAGTTGGGTTGCTTCAAAATATTTCCCCTATAAGCACCCCTTTGAGGGTAGGCATGAAACTCCGCCTTGAAGAAACAGTTGAATTGCCTTGGCCAGAGTTACAGTGGTGGCTGACATAATTTCCTTACTTCTCATTCCTGTGTACAGACCATTTGACAATTTCCTTAAAACATTTTAAACTTCCGATTAATAAAGCCAGAACTGTTGCTCATTTTCTCTCCTCCTCCTGCTCCTGTCACTGACTACTTCTTTATGCACAGCTTCCCACCTTCTACCCCAACATCAAAGCATATGGTTTCTTAAATAAACAGGCCCTGTAGAGAGGCTGTGTTGTATATGCCGTCAGCTCTGAGAAGAATGTGTGTGTTTGTTTGCGGCACTGGCAGGCCTGAATCCAGGCTGACAGGACTGAATGTGCCTGTTGGAGACTTCAGGGAGCTGCTGCTTACAGCCTGTTGTTGAGGATCACCAGACCTTTTTAACACCCGGAAATCTGAAGGTCACTCAGCGCCTTTAACTGCCCCAGAACTTCCTAACTGCCTCATTTATTCCAGTACTTGGCCTCTCTTCATCCTACCTTCCCCAGCACTGGCTTTCACCCTTTAATTTAATCTTGCATTCGTTTTTGGTCAAGGCATAGGAATTGTGGAGGCTCTGCTTGGTTGAGTAGAGTGAACAAAATCCTCATGAAGAATCCTCTCCTTTGCAGTACATCTTGGTCACACCTTTAATGCCCCAAGGCATGTTAAAATGATCTGAGTACATCAGGGATTCCAGTAAGAACTATCAGCGGATTGGATGAAGTCTAATTTATCTGGGGAGATGTTAGTCTTCATCTGAGGTTTGGTTGGGGTAAAAGTAGAATGCCAGCCAGGTATGACAAATGGCTCAAAGGAAACACAGTGTGACAATTAGGTAAGCTCTGCTGAGTCAACTATTTGACTGTGTGCATACTGATTTTTAATTAGAAATTTGATTTTTTCTCTGCTGTAAACATTTGGAAGAGAACACATGTTCTGGTCAGTTTCTAATAGCTTTTTTTTTTTCTGTAATAGTGATAATAATAGGCTCTCCACCTTGTTGTGAATAGTTTCTTCCTCACTCTGCCCATTTTCAGTCTCTTGTCTCTTAGTGGGTAACTACAGAGGCAGTGCTTCCCAGCTTGTCCTAGTTGGCCTGGTACCCTCATGTGATCATTGCGTATCACGCAGTGCTCAGCACCCAGTTGTAAGGATCATTGAGAGAGAAGGTTTCCTCCTCTTCTTCCCTTCCTATCTATCCCTCAATTTCTGTCTTTTATGGGCTGGGGATTTAGCTCAGTGGTTCCGCCACCTGACTCGGCAGCGGAGGGACCCGAGTTCAATCCCCGGTACCAAAAAAAACCGAAACAATTTCTGTCTTTTTTTTTTCTGAGACATGGTCTTGCTATGCAGTTTAGGCTGGCTTGAA